AGCTGAAAGCAAAAGTTAAAAAAAAAATAATTATTTACTGAATTCAAAGTAGACAACCCAGTATACAAAATTCTGCATAAGAGGTTTGTTGTCATTTTTAATAAAAAAGACACAGGATAAAGTATGCTTTTTTCTTCCTTTCTATGTAAGGTTCAGGTAACGACCGACTCTGAACCACTCCACCTCCCAAGAGCCACAAGGTTACTGCTCCTGCAAACTTTTTTTCTTTCATATCGTAGGTGCCTCTTCAGTACTTAACTGTGATTTCAAGCCCCACAACAAGAGTCTCTGTGCTCTCCTCCCCTCCCAGGGTTTTCTAACTCTGCCCAGAGGGAATGTCCCCATACCAGCTTCCACCAGCCTTGAAAGCGCCGGATCCCCTCCGGCACATCTGCGCATCTTCATCACCCAGGCAGCAAATACAGAGTCAATAACTACGAGTAATCAACTCAACCATTACTAAATTATTCATCTGGAAGCAAAATAGTGCTCCCACCTACTAAGAAAATGTTTGTATCTCAGAGCGATGCTTCTTCCGTGTACTGCCAAGAAGAAAATCCCTGTAAATCGACAATCCTGTTTTACAGAAGCTGGCTCATTGCAAGTTGCCAACTGGACAAGACATGGCAGTATCCACCCCACTCTGGGGTGATAACGGGGTTTGGATGATTTAACCCCACATGCCATCTGGAGGAGTACCATGACACCATTTTTTTTTTAAGCAATTCCTTGATGTCCTGTTCTCAGACGATTTAAGAAGAAAACCTCATAGAATCTTGCTGGCAAAACAGTTTCAGAGGAAAAAGCCCATTACTTGAATTAAAATTACTTGCCTTGAAACAACTTAGGCAGAACGCAATGAATCACAAGCAGAATAATGGAGGAACATTTCCTAAATTTATGGTGAAAAACTGGACTATGTGGTGCTGCCAGTCCTGTATCCCGCAGGGCCGGTTAGTCGCCCCGGACCCGCGCAGTCCCGGCCCGTGCAGCCCTGGGCCAGGTGGCCGTGCCAACGCTGGCTCGCTGCCGTCAACCTCCGTGTCTGAAATCTGAACTCTACATCTAAGAGTCACAGCTTGCCCAGCCCGGGTTGGCAGCCCGTGCACGAGCGTCCTGCCCAGCGCGCCGGGGCGTGCGGTGCCCGCTGCTCTCCGAGCTGCACTGCAGGCGCTGCCCAAAGAGGTTCCTGAATCCTGGGCATCCCGTGGCTGGAGCGAGTGCCACTGGCAGCTGTCGAATGCCAATGACACCCCTGTCAGGTTTATGGATGCTATTAGCAGTGGCGGAGCTGAAAAGCATTTATTTATTTCAGCATCTGGTGATGGGGGGAAACGAGAGGGCAGAAGAGGTCCTGGGGAGCAGAGTTAGAGCCTCAAACCTCGTTTTGGGATGTATTTGAAAACATTTTTTTTTAAATTTTATTTAAATTCCCACTCTGAGGTTACTTTTACAAGTTTGATTGGACTACAACTAAAAAAAAAAAAACCAAACAAAATCTTCTCACAAATTGAAAGCCCTGTACTTCAGCCAGCTCCACTCTGCAGTTTAATTGCTTTAAAGCAGAGGCCATGTGTTGTGTTCTCTCAGGGGTACACGGGAAGGTGAAATGAAAGGCAGTGAAGAAAAAAATAAAAATAAAAATCAACCTTTAAAATAAAATGAAATAGGACTGCCTAAGGGCTATAGCAACCTAAAGATCAACAACATGAAGACAACTCTCAAGGACAGCCCTTCCTTCCCTGTGCCTTTTCTACTAGCGTGTCTTTCCAGCTGATGCTCTGCTGCTCCCCTAAGCTCACAGCCACAGTCCTTGCTTCTAATATAAGCACCTTGGAAGGTTTTGCAAGTTTAATGGGATGGTCATCTTCTCAACAAAAAAACATTTCACAGAGGTTAAGACATCACTTTCCACCCTCCTGAACGCATTAACCTCCCTGCACACAGGCTGTATTTTTCAAGTCTCTACTTGGTGATTTCTGATGAGATTCCTAAGGTTATGACTTAAAAGTTGCACTTCATATTTCACTCTGAAGCACTGCGTCCCTTTAGGGGGTTGCCAGATTTATTATTCCAAAAGCTGGGACTGTACATCACGTGTTTAAGAAATATTCTGAAGTGAGCTTTCCCACCACCCGTGACCCTGTTGTGCATCAGTGTTGCCTACCAGCAGACAGTTAAATGTTTTTAGATCACGTGCATTTTAATACCACCTAGATGAGACCCTTATACTTTTGCCATAGTTGTCTTAGATTTGACATGTTCTGCCAAGGAGTAGCCTCCCTCTATACCCCATACTGATACATTACTTCTGAGATCCTAGGAACCAGGGTTGATATCCCTCATCGTTTTGTAGGCACGTACGCACCTGCACAGGTACAAAATAAAGATAGTCCACCAGTAGAAAAGGGAGGAAGAAATAGGTGTTCATGTCTTGTTTTCTCAGAGGACAAAAAGGTAGAAGAAAATGTCTCTGCAGCTGTTTGTGGCACTCGCAGGCACCGTCCCTGCAGATCGCCCCTGTTCTGCCATGCCTTTTCCCACCACCGATGGAGCACACTTCCATGGTCCCATCAGGGCATCTCACCTCTATCGTCCGTGCCCACCATCTGAACTACAAGAGCACGAAAGGCAGCATCCCTTATGCCTGCAGAGATGTCTACAAGTGGTGCTGTTCCCATTCTCTACGACTTTGATCTGACAAGTCCCGTTTCAAAAATAGCTAAAAAACCAAACCTGAATCGCTGAAGCCAATTATAGCTTCATTTTAACTTCTCTGCCCTGCAGAAAACAGAGGGTCTTGGATACACAATTTCTGCCACACAAGACTTTCAGAAGTAATGAACTTCTATGGCACATAAGCATAACACAAATGTGAGCAGCAAAGCTGTAAGTCAATTTATTTTGCCTTTTTAAAAATACATCTGCATCCTCAAGTTAAAATAAAAAGATGGAGAGCAAGAGAAGATCCATCACTCAGCTCCATGTACCTCATTTTGTTATATTTCCTTTCTAATCCACAAACCCCAGAAAGACAGAAACTTTCCTACAGTCCTGAGTAGTGGTTTCTTTTACGCCTCCTCATTTTGTTACGTGAACTTCATTTCAACTCTTCAACAAAAGGTTTTTTGCCTTCACGGCAAGAAAGGAAGGCTTCAAAATAATTTTGGGGACATCAATGGGACAAAGTAGACAGAGCGATGACGATCCCACCAGCTAAAACACAACCCTGAGTATCTGCTTTGAGGAGGAGGGTTTGCACACACCGTTTTGGATACGCAAGTTACGGAGAATCCCAACGAGGGTCTCCGCGTGTGGTAAGGGATCAGATTAGACTGTGGTCTCACGAAAGCAACTTGTTTCCTAAGAAACAACATTGCTTGTCTTTGAACGAGTAGATTCAGAAATACGAAAAGAAACAGGGACTCATTTTGGTAAGTCCTGTAACGTGAGGATCAGAAATGTGGGAAGTCGGACTGCTCTCCCACGAATTTCAGTTACTGCAATCAAGTGCATAGATTTCAAAAATAAATTCCTAGGAGGACACTTAAATGAATAAACTAATGAAAGTATAATACTTAACCAAACCCATTTACTCAATGTAAAGAATAAAGTCTTTTGCATTTTTCTCATCTGCTCTGTAAAGCAGATATTTATAATTTTCATTTATTTATATTAAAATCTCATGAAAGACATGTACCAGATTGCGTCTGACAGACTGCCATGTATTATTTCCAAATTCTGGCGAAATGAAAAAGCAGAAAGATGACTAACACTGAACTTATTTGAATTTACTCAACACTGAGGAGCTTGGCAAAAAAGGGACGGGGTACAAAACAGCGCACGGCTGAACGGAGTGAAAACTACATAGGCAGATTTAAGCCTTCAACATAATTCAGATCTATCTCCACGTGAAACAGGGCAATTCTTCCAAACTCTACGTAATCGGAGACTTGGATAAAAGGGACCAAAAGCTGAACCTTCTCCAATTTCAGCTTTAATACTATAAAAGATACAGCCTACGTTTTGCAAAACAAAACTTCATGTTTTCTTTCAACTTCCTCGGATTTTTTTCCTTCTTTTTTCTTGTTCTGGAAAAGGATTACGGCATTGCAACTGTCTGCAGCTGCTGACACCTCACAGCACTTCATTGCTTAATGATGCACCACCATGATATTTTTAGGAACAACTGCACGTAACAGAGCAGCTCTATTGCTTTAAGCGTCTCTGCGGCAGGGGATTCTGGAGAATCCAGTAAAGACACCTCTGCAGCAGACTTGTTTACTGAAAGAACTGAATTTGACATTTAAAAAAAACAATCTGACATTCTGTTGTACTGTAACATAGCATCTCTTAAATGGAAAGTGGAGTGGAAACAGCAACAGCAGAGGCTGAGAAGGGTTTAGCGTAACTAACTTGCTGAGTTTACACTTGAACTGATACATTTTAAGTTAGCTGAAGATCATTTTTTAAAAAATAGCATAGCCAAGAGCAAGATTAAGCAAAAAGACACAGAAAACAATAAAAGATTACGTTTGCTTTACCTCTGTTCAACAAGGGCTTTTGCTGGAAGGGAGATAAATCACAGTTTGTTTAAACAGCTACTAAGCATTTATGTCCTCAAGACGGAGGTGTTAACCATGCTGAGGTAGCTCTACCTCTGTGACATTCATTTCTAGTCCAACTATTCTGGTAACTTACCTGCTCGAAACCCTTAATTCACAATGATTAAAAAAGAAAACATATTTGTAAACTCTGACCATAGCAGAAAGCACTACTGAAATACAAACGTTTCAGCTTAAAAAGGAAAAGAAAACAACGGATCTGATGCAAGGCAAAATTATCAATCTGATCTTGGAGATCGTAGTTGCTGGTTTCTCCTCCCTGTACTGAACGATTAATTAGAGCAATTATAGATTAATGGCATCAATAGTTTCTACGTTTTCTTTGTCTTTGTCTCCTATTCTGCAACAGAGACAGCAAATACCAGTTTAACTCACCAGTGGAGTGTCCTTCCCCCCAACGATGCTGAGTCCCAGGCCTGACCGACCCTTAGATATCTCTATAGTCATCTCCTGCCCTGGAACTATTGGACACGTTGCTGGATCCACAGGCAACGGAGGTGGAAAGACACCTAAGAACATGAGAAGTCAGAGAAATAAGTCACACTATTCAATGAGAAAATGAAAACCATCAAAGGAATTGTTTGAGAGCAACTAATTAAGCTCTTGTATTTTGCTTTTCACCTTTACCAATCTAAACCGAAGTACTACTCTGAGTCACTTCTGAAGTCAGTCTCTGCTCTCGTGAGACCCCACGTGCAGCACTGTGTTCAGCTCTGGGGCCCCCAACATCACAAGGACATGGAGCTGTTGGAGCGGGTCCAGAGGAGGGTCATGAAACGGATCCGAGGGCTGGAGCACCTCTCCTATGGAGACAGGCTGACAGTTGGGGTTGTTCAGCCTGGAGAACAGAAGGCTCCAGGGAGACCTTCCAGCAGCCTTCCAGTACCTGAAAGGACTACAAGAAAGCTGGAGAGGGGCTTTGGACAAGGGTGTGTAGTGACAGGACACAGTGCAGTGGCTTTAAACTGAAAGAGGGGAGATTTAGATTAGATCTAAGGAAGAAATTCTTCCCTCTGAGGGTGGTGAGGCACTGGAACGGGTTGCCCAGAGAAGCTGTGGCTGCTCCATCCCTGGAAGTGTTCAAGGCCAGGTTGGATGAGGTTTTGAGCAACGTGATCTAGTGGAAGGTGTCCCTGCCCATGGCAGGGGGTTTGGAACTAGATGATCTTTGAGGTCCCTTCCAACCCAAACTATTCCATGATTCTATGACTATACAATTCAGATCATGACGGCAAGCTGTATTATTCCATTCAGGACACATAAGGCTATGTCCCAGCACTGTCGAATGGACAGCACGTCCTAGATTGCTTTTCCTTTTGAGCTGTATTATTCCATTCAGGACACATAAGGCCATGTCCCAGCACTGTCGAATGGACAGCATGTCCCAGATTGCTTTTCCTTTTGTTTTTATTTTAATTAAAAGAAGGAACAACACCTTTGCACGGAAAAGTCAAGAAAAACAAGCAAAGGCATCTTCAAGCTCTCAAAAATTATAAAATGAGAGAAAAGTACAAACACTTTGTAAAATAACTTAAAATTTGTCATTCAATGTTTAAAGAAAAAAATCTCAGCAAAAGGTATTTGGAAAAAAAAAAAAGTAAAGCTCAAACCTGAGTTAGGGTACATACACTATATTGGTGGAAAAAATAAGTGGTTCATACTACGGTTGGTGACTTCTGCCTCTGGAGAAAGGTAAGTAGGTGCTGGCACCAGAGGTATCTCCTGTAAGTTGACTGGTACTTTTGTTGAAGTTTTGGATTGTTTGATCTGGTTGAGGACCTGAAAGCAAAGCAAAGCAGAAGCAAAAGAGGTCAACCACTGAAAGGCATGTTATGTGGACATCATCGTTAGCTGTTGATTAGCATACTTTATTAAATCCACTGAGTCAATAGAAGGGAAACAAGCAATAAGCACAGATGAAATGGAAACATTCTCTTCATAAATAAATGGAAAATCAGGGTGACTGGATACCTGTGGTTCCAGAAATGCTCATGTAGGAAGTAGGGACAGGACTTCACCTTTCTCAATTGTGCCTCTCATACCAAATAACGTGAGGGTTTTGGTTTTTCTTTTTTTTTTTTTTTTTACTTTTAAACAGCAAAAAAACATCCTTGATATTAGCGTGTGTGACTATTTCCACATAATTAAAGAGAAGCAAGTCACTTTTTAAGTTTCTACCTGAGAAAATTATTTTAATGTCTCCCCAGTTAACTCCTTGCCCCCATAAATCATTCAGTCTTCAACTAGATCAAGCCCCTAGAATCCTCCCTTATTGGTTAA